CAACCTGCAATGACCTGACATAGAGGATCCTATTGCCCAGTGTAATAAATATATTCAACAATGTCACATATAATACATTTAAAGTTTCAAGAAGACGAAAAAGCGCTACATTTCAAATGCAGTTGTCTACTTAGATGCCATAAAAGTCTTGCAGTGAGGGTTTATTTTTTATTTATTTATTTATTTTGGTGCTATAATAATTAGCTTTTAAGTGTTTTTGACTTCTAGCTTATTTTGTTTTTATCCTGCACAGTTTTATATTTTATAAAAGTGCTTGAGTCTTACGTCTAAGTGTATGTCTTGTTTCATATGTTTTTCTGTACCTACAGATTATAACGGATCTAGAAAATTGTTGCAATATCACATTAAGTATCACATAAAACCACAGGGACACATAGCGCTGTAAGACTCCTGTCAGTGTGACTCGCTCATGTAGAGCTTGAAGATACAAATGTAAGAAATATAAGCTGTTACTGGCTTGTAATGCTGAAATCAGTTAAAATCTCACAAAAAATCTCAAATGACTGACTTACAATTGCAACCTGCATCATTCCATGATCTGTGCTACAATTTCCGATATAAATCAAAATACCTTTAATAATTACGCGTCTCCTGACGCCAAACCATGCTTGTAAAAATAACAGCTTTTTTTTTTTTTTTTATTAACTGCAGAGCATGTTACCAGAATTTAGACTGTAGTGTCACTGGGTCCTTATAATCCACCTAATACTATGGGGGGAAAAAACAACTAATTATTATTGAAGATGAGATTATTCCCTTTACAGCTAAAGAAATCAGACAAATAAACTGTTGATTCGGATGACAGAAACCTTGCCTAAGATATATAGACCTAATTATTTAAGCAATCTACTTTTAGAAGAATTGCTTGAAACAGCCACAGACACTGAATACACTAGCATAGTTTAGTCTTTATTTATGTTTAGTGTTCTGATTTATTATGGAATGCTTTATTATAAGATTACAAGCTCCTTTGAAATTTAACTCTGTCATCAATTGAAAGAAAAATGGCTTCTAACTAGCTTGTGAGCCTTACATATCAGTCTTTTATTTGTATTTTTTTATACAATGAATTCCTACTTTGGATGCATGTTTTTAGGTTTGTGCCTAATTTTATTAAATGCAGCAGGAATACCCCAGCCCAAAGAATCTGAAAAAAAGAGGAAAAAATAATGAAAACATCCGCGCTACGCATGAGAAGAGGCAGATAAAAGGAGCAAGATAGGAAAGAATGACAGAATTTAATAAAGCTCAACAAGGCAGAAAGGATTGCAGTGAAAAGAGATTCTACTTTCTTTATTCTTTTACAACTTCTGGCTACTTAAACACTTTTACACCCCCCTGTCCTTTCATCCGAGGCTGCTTTCCCTGGGAGAGGAATAGCTGGACACAGAGGGAGATGCTTGCTCCGTTTTTATTTGAATGTTGACCGAGGATGGCCACCATCTGTGCAAACTGTCAGACTCTATGACTCTTCTGCAGCCATAAATATCTAGACGGAGCTACCGTTTAAAGATAATTCACACATAGCAATTTATGGTCCCTGCTCTTGTTTTTCTGTTTTGTTTTGTTTTTTTGTCACTCTTTGGGCTTTTATCACCATTCTCTTAAGCTGACATGAGCAGAAGCACTTTATCATTTGAAGCAAACACAGATTTCTGCCTTTTATCATCATTTCACACCCTTCTCTCCCTGCCAGGCTGGGATCTGGGGCTTTTATTATTCCTGCTCCTCATCTGAAAGAGAAAACAAAAACTCCTCAGTCTTCCCTGGAATGTAGCATACACTTATCTTTTCATGTTTTTTTTCTCTCTTTCCTTTCTGGTCACTTTCACTAAGCTCAAACACAAAAGGGGAGTGGTGAAAATGGGCTAAATGACATTGTTTTCAGTGATATGGACGCTAGGCTTAAAGACAAAAACTGCTGGCTGACTGTTGTCATGTCAATAAGCCATCAGTCGCGCTGCTAACAATAAGTTAATGATTCCCCAGCAGTAATACATTTATGAATAGAGAAGTGTCTTCTTCAGCCCAGCAGGGGTGCCCATTAAAACAGAGCATGAACAAAATAATTGTGATTTGCAGATAAAATCCACTTTAGAATGGGATTCCGACTGAGGAATTGTTGAAAGAGCTGTAATTTTCCACTAAAATGTGACACACACTCTCAGGAGCTCCACTAATCTACTCGAGTGTGTGTGTTTGAATGTTTGAAGTCTTCTGCTTGGCACTATGCTTAAGTGAAATTATAACAAAGAGATTAAGTCAGGTGTTGGTGCTTTAGAGTTTAGATTTCTCTTTTTTAATAACTTGGATTTATTTGCTTCTAATTTGACTAAATTTCATCTTAAAAAATATACTTGAAAAGTCTGATTAACATTTGAATTTGATCAAATTACTTTTGATGGAAACTAAAAAAACTTAGAAGAGCTTTGGGAATCAAAAGAAAATGATTATGATATTGATAGATGTGATAGATTTTATAACTAAACTTCAAGATGTGTTTATTTAGTTTATATGAAATAAAAAATGTATTTCCCCCTATTTTCAATGAAAGATTTCACATATGTGAGAATTTCCTGCTTTTTTGGCTTCACCAATCTGGAAAAGGTTAGTCTTTAAATATAGACTAGTATTTCTGTAGGGGGAAGATTGATCCCATTCATTCTTGCCCCTGAAAAGTGTTTTACTGTTTCTTGTTGAAGCTGTTCATAATGATAAATGATTAATGAGGTATGTGTTTTTAATTAAAGTAATTTAATTCTTCTTTTCTTTTGTGCTTCTTTTCCACTTTTCTGCACTTCTTTGGTGCACTGAACTAAATTAGCATATTTAATTTGGTGGAACCATGTTCTTTAATTCCAGGTGGAGCAGGAAGGCCATCCAGTGTCTTGTTTAAAAATTTAAAGGACTTGCCGTGGCAACCATAACAAGTCATTTCAAAAGTAACTCATTTACTGGTTACTCCTCAGGTCTTTGCCAAAACCCATCCCCCCAAAGCATTACTTTGCACTCTACAGACCTCTTCAAAATGTATGGGAATTATATGCTTTGTACTAAACTTTTAGTTCAGTACAAAGTTATGTTATGAAGATGTTCACCTGGTGTGTTTGTGTTTTCCAAAAACTCCTTAATTGCACGTATCTCTATGAGTTCATTCCTCTACCTACTGGTCTAAGTTACGCATTTGCCATGTTTTTAAACAGCTTTTTCAGAAAACCATTCATGGTTATTCAAAATTTCAAAATTCAAGCATGCTTTGATATTTATAAATTGACTGGTGACAGAATGCATTAACACATGACTGACTCGCCATAACACCAAAAACCCACTATTGATCTGATCATGCACCATATTGAATCCAAGTCATGCTTTCAACAAGCCTTTTTAGTGTTACTGAGAAAAGAATGCCAAAAATAGTTCATTTTTAATAAAAGAAAGGGATCTAAGAATCAGGTTTAAATGTTTTTTTTTACTTTTGTTTTCCAGTTTAAAAATTTCTGCTGCTAATTTAAATTATGATAGAATGAGAGAGAAAGTCTCAAAGCAGAAAAGAGGAAGGTTTAATGGAATACGCCGGAAGCATTCAGTTTTAGACTTTTGAGCCCACAGTATATGAAGAAACATGCAGGATTTAGCAATACCAGCAGCCTTTTGAGCATCAAAGTGTTAAGCTAACATTCTCAACAGTTTTGGGAATGTTTGCGAATTGCTAATATCAGATGCTTTAAACAGTCATAAACTTTGAACTCCATTATCATCTTGTCATTGTTTAGAAATAAAACCGTCCATTTCTTCTGAGGTTTCTTTCTCATCTGTGGAGTTGGATGTGTCTGCTCGTTAATTAAAAGAATAAGAAATGTATGCAGCAGTATTGCTAGAAAAAATACATTGAAAACGTTTGCTATAACATCTCATATCTTTAATTGTTGGTTAATTATGAAATGATTAGTAAATGTACTCGAAAGTTTTTGCCCTCTGCTTGGCGTTCTGATCACATCATTTTGGAATGACGCCATAGCAATGAACCAGACTACACAGAACTCCTGATCAGGGTATAGCTTTCAAATAAAGTCTTTCAGATTCAAAATATAAACCGGCAACTTCTCTACAGGATCTTCAACAAATGCCACAACGCTAAGTGGTGCTTTATTTGCCTGGTAGTTGTGCTCTACCTGGAGTCTTGCTTGGGAAACTGATTCAAACAGTATAGTGGAATAACCCTCCCTGGTTTGTAATTTATAATCCCAAATGTAAGGTGTAAGTAGTTAAGGTGTTCTTCCTGCTCACTTCTGAAGGCATTTTTCTAATTTGACTGTCGAATTTCTAACTCACACTTATCACGTATGCTCCTGTACCTTCATCCAGCTTCTAGAAATCCAGGTCTCATTTTGCTAATATTCCTTGCTAAATTTGTTGAACTGTCTTTGCCATTTTTCTTTGTATCTTCATCCCTGTCCTTATGTTATTATAAGCAGTGGTTTTGTCCATCCATCCATCCATCCATCCATCCATCCATCCATCCATCCATCCATCCATCCATCCATCCATCCATCCATCCATCCATCCATCCATCCAGCCATCCAGCCATCCATCCATCCATCCATCCATCCATCCATCCATCCATCCATCCATCCATCCATCCATCCAGCCATCCAGCCATCCATCCATCCATCCGGGTCACTGTGGGGCTGGTGTGGCTCTCCAGTAGGGTTGCCAACTCCCTGAAACAAAAAAAAAGGACCTCATTTGCATGCCAGCTGAACCGATTGCCTTTATCCCTCCTGGTGTTTTTTTTTTTTTTTTTAGCCCCCCTTTGTGTGTGAAATTATTTTTTTAACTACTGCACTCAAATCTGCATTGAATTAGATACATATTTGCAGTGTGCTTTATATTCATTATTGCGGACTTCTTCCTTCCAGGTATTTTTTTTTTCCCATTCCTCCATATATTTCTGCGTCTTTTTTTTTTTTTTTTTTCAGAGGATGAGCATCGATATGCGAAGGTGCACCGCCCAAAAAAGCAGCATCAGCCTCTAAACTACAGTACTGCGTTCATCCCCGATAGTGTGCTGTCGTCTCCTGCTATCTTCTCCGTGAGCAACACTTGGCTCAACCAATGGGATGAGGGTATTCTGGATTGTTCCATATATGTTGTCAGCTCATTGGACACAACGCAGGAAAGGGCTGTGGAATAAGTTTACTGTAAGTTTTGTATCTAACGAGCCCTTGTTCTTTATTTTCCATTAGCATTTTACTAACTGTTTTTTTGCTCTCACAGTAATATAGGACAAAGTGCATTCCTTTTCCACTAAATATGGGACAAGTACTTCTATTTCTAAATACGGAACAATTCTGTTTTTCAATGGACAGTTGGCAACCCATACTCTCCAGCAGTCTATGGGCGATAGAGGGGGTACAACCTTGACAGGTCACCAGTCTGTTGCAGGGTAATTAGTTGTTCCATCCTCAAAAGTTTATCAAACTTTTTAAAGGGCACCTCTGATCAGCAATGTGCTCAACAGATGAACTACAATGGATCAGCGAGTTGAATGCTTATAACTTTACTAACTGCAAATCAAAGATGTCCCTTATCTCAAACCTTTGCTGCTCAGAAGTATTTAACTGAGACTTGGGAGCAAAGGAGAGGCTGATCTCCTTGCTTTGCTTAAGTAATAAAACGTCTAGACACCAACTAACACAAATTTCCCTGAAGAATTAGTGTCATCAGTGTGAGAGCCATGCCCTGTGCTCTGGGCTGTAGTTTGAAATACTGTCTTTCAAATCAATGCTCACCTCTCTTCTCTCCTTTTAATTGAACTTTGTGCCCTACTGTTAAGACGTTTTGTCCAAGACAACAATCAAGCTCTTAGCAGTAATGAGTTTAAATCAAACTTTTTCAAAATACCGTGGATGTGAAGAGAGAAAACATCTTCAGGTTTTATCTCTGCAGTCTCTGCAACTACTTAACTTTTTGTAAAGGAAGTATAATTCATAAAGGTTTTGAATAACGACTTTTGCATTGAAGAAATTTTGATTCCTTACAAGCAGAAAATACTTAAACACTGAACAGCATCAACATGCAGCAGCAGCAGAGGCTTTGTGAGGTGATTTAGATAATGGCAGATTTTATTTATCTTACTTTCAACAATTGGCACTTTGGAGAAAAGTCAGCCCAAAATGTCTCCATCCATCATGCTAACTGTGTTTCCACTGCAATGTTATTGACACCGTAAATTAAAGTAGCCTCAGATCGGGTACTTGACGAGTTCAAGGCGTCAACAGCAAACTTCTGTCACAGTGGGTAAGTTTTCTCTAGGTCTTCTCCTATTTTTACATCCACATTTCTAAAGTATTTGTAAATCTTCACTTTGTTTGTACCTCACAGATTTTATTTTACGCATACCTGAAAGTAGAAAAGTGGATTACATACATAGAGTAAATGTGCAACGGTCTTATTTCATTTATAGACATTTATAGTCTTTCATGTTTATAGTCCCCATATATTTGTTTATATTGGGGAGCAAAACTAAAAAATATAAGTTTTGCTACTAATTGAAATCATCTACAGTCAGTGTAACAAGATTTTTCTTTATAATTTATCCTTTTTTTCTCTCGTCAAATTAAAGCCTTCTTAAGAAGGGCAGTTAGATATAAAGATTGATTACTTTTACTGTTATACCTCTTATCTTTGTGGCTCTTGTAAAAAAAACAAAAAAACAGACAGTATTTCTCACTGAATGGTGGATTCTGCCAACATAAACTCTTTTTAATTTAAAGGATATATTTTTTATTAAGACCCACTCATCAACAGGCAGGCTCTAAAGAATTGGGAGAGAATGAGCGCTTAAGAATAGATGTGACTTTATGACACAGACCAATGCAAACAACCACAGCTGCACAGTTCCAGAGGCGTTCGTATTCCGGTGTCCTTCTAATCCAACCTATACATAGATTAGCATTACCTGAAGCATAAACTCTAGCTGAATAAGACTGCCAATTTGAAATATGAATGCATGTGGAGAGGAGAAGCATAAGAAAGAGAGAGGAGAGCATACCAATGAAATTCTCCCCACAAAGCTTACCCATACTGTTCAGGTGAATGCAGCAAATTGTAGGTTTGGAGTTGCACTTTATCCTGCATAATTTTAAAGCATTTCTCTAGGCTGACCTGCCAAATGTGAATGATGAAATGTCTGATAAAGTTGGGTTTGTTTTTGTATAATTAATCCACAATGTTGATCCAGGACAGGGTTCTTCAACTCTGCTCCTGATAGTCCAGTGTCCTGCACCTTTGAGTTATGTGCTGCTTCCACACCTGAATCAAATTGCTGAATTACCTCCTCAGCACTCATTCGGTTCTTCAGTGTCTAGCTAATGACCTGATCATTTGACGTGGAATAAAGAACCTTGATCGGGACAGATAAAATACCGAGAGACTTAGAACAGGTCAACCTTTTGGTGCTAATAATGCAGTGGGCTTTCCACTGGAGTCTCCTATCACTTCTGCAGGCAAAGGATTTTTATATTTTTTTTAAGTCTAGACTAACTTGTACAGGTAACATCTAAAATAGCTATCCCTGTTTAACTTCTTAACAGAAGAGAGATTTGTTTGAAAACACAATTTGGAATAATAATTTCACTAGCTTTTTACATGGATTTGGGGGTATTGGGAGGAATTATATTTAAAAGAAGCATGTAATCTGCAACATACGTACAGATTGTTCAATCTTGGTAAAGGATTACCCTGTATTATTATATATAATATTACTTCTTATTACCATTGTCGTCCATTTAACACAATTAGTCGTCCCACCTTGTGGTGAGAAGCTTGTTGGTCTTTTAGTTCTGCTGCTACGCCTCCATCTGTTTCCTGGGACTTTGTATTTTTTTCATTCTGATAATAAGTCCTCTTTTTTTTGTTTAACTTGATGATTTTGTCTGTATGAAAGAACTGGTGTCACAACATGAAATCTATTCCCAAAAATCTTTGACAGGCATTCTAACTAAAACTGTAATAGATCACAGCAAGATGAGAGCAGACATGAGAAGTCGAATACTGGTGATTTATTTTTTTTTTACAGTATCATAAAATTTCATTAATATTTTCATCTAAAGCACATAATGTTTAAGTTAGATTTTAAATGTTTTCTGTTACAGGAACAACTTTGAAAGAGTTTGGGGGGCTACTACCAGAAAAACACTACTTTTATGTCTGGGGCTAGAATCCTCCACATGGCATGGCTAATCACCCCGGTTGCCATGGCTATGTGAGGGTTCGAGAGCATATTAATCATGAGGATTTAGATTTCCCTTGCTCATTTAAAAAAGACACGGAACCTCTCCTTTATGAAGCTGATAAATCAGCCTCTGTGCACCGATCATGGGAAAAGAGTTCAGGAGTTCCCCTGTATTTTAGTATTTTAAAGGGTATGAGTCTGTTTTTTATTATTGTATTTTTAGAGTAAATGTTATTTTTTTAATCAATCATACTCAAAAATGCATTCTTTGACAAAATTTGTTGCTTTGGGCCAAATTTTATCACCTGCTTATAAGGGTTCCAACATACAGCAGGCTTTATCCTCATAGAAGATGAGATTATTCTTAAAACTATGATTGTTGAAAGGCGCCCTCTCTACCACGTCTTATTATGCAACCTGGATTTTACAAAGCATGTGCGACCCAGACTTGTGAGTTTGTGCCTACCATGATAGACAGGGCAGCTGATAAAAATGAGATCATGCATAAATAAGTTTCGCTCTTGCCGATGTGCCCCCTTTTCGGCTGCAATTTTTTGCCTCTTTGTCTTTGGTCAGAGACAGCAGATTGATGACATGGTGACAGAGTGACGTTGCATTCTGGGAAGCCAGGACCACAGCTATAAATCCATGGCGATTCAGCTTTACAATGGCCTACTGTCTAGCCATCAGAGGGCTGGGAGGCTGTTACTGCAGCTCCCTGCTGAGCTGCTAGGGTACAGCCATTATACGTTGTTCAGTTGAGGAACGGTAAAATGAAGGCGTCGGGACCAAACAGCCAAGACGCTAATGAATTATGAAAAACTAATAGAATTAAAAGGAGAAAAGGAACGAGTGCTTTCTTCAGTGGGGAGGGATTTCCCACACTCTTTACTCGCTGCCATTCTTTTCACGTAGATCTGTCAAATCTGCCGTATTAAAAAGCAAATAAAGCAGTCGGACAAATAAACTCTGTGAGTTCCTGACTGACCTCAGACAGCCAGCTGTGTTGTGAGTACAACTCAGCTTGGCTCCCTGGAATCACCGTCTATTATGGGATATGTTTGTATATGAGTGCTTAGTTTTCTGTCTCTGTAAATGACTCTGCTGTGTTTGGATCAAACCAAAGTGCTTCATGATAAAAGGTTCCCACTTTTGTAGTTTAATTTTCAAGAAACATGTCTTTGTAGGCAGTATAGCTATTATTTTTTTCCTCAGAGAAAGCTGACCTTAAGGCCTAGGCAGGTCTGATCTTATTTGCACACTAAGTATGGGCTGATATGAGATTCTCACGGTACGATAACCTTTGCGTAAACACACAGATGTTTCACTGTATTTAAAAAAATATTCTAAATAGAAATATAAAATAAGTGAAATGAAACTGGAATACAAATTAGATGTCTAAAAGGGATATACAATGATTATAAAAGTGAAAAAAACTTGGAAATATTAATTATTATAGTCTTATTTCGAGAAAAATAAGCATTTAGCTAATGTAGAAGTGTTTTAACTACATGTGCTTGTGTAGAACATGTTAAATTTTTTTATTGTTTTGCTTTTGTTTTTTTCAGACAATGTTAATAAATGACCAATTCCATTGTTTTGCTTTCCCATAATTCATTTGTCACAACTAAATATTTCCAAATAGTGTCTAAGATGCTCTGATTTTCTTAAAAGAGAAAAAAACAACAACTAATGATTGGTTTAAAGATCAGAAAGGATTATTTTTGAAAGAGGAAAACATGATACTTCCTCTCTTTTCTTTCTTCGAGGATTTTTAGAAACGATCTGCACATATGAGTGGACCACATGTTTTACATGTAAAACTGTATTTGTCATTGCCTCAGATATATAGCTGAGCAGCTTGAAGCCTAAAATGTTTCCTATTTTTTATGTTTATTTGTAAGATTCATTCAGCACTGATCAGATTTTTGTGAAGCAGCAAATCTTAAACTGCAAGTGAGGATAAAACTTGACATTAAAGCTTTTTAATTGGCCAAGATCCTTTTACGATTTTTAAACACAGATTTAAGTGTTAAAGCTACAAAAAAAAGTGGAATAAAAGGTTTTTATCCTAAACGGAAAATAGATTTAGCAAATTTAATACCGCGCTGTTAACCCCAATTGCTGTTTTGGCGCCTTAGCCTGTGCCTCAAGCGCTTTTATCCAAAAGTTGCCGAATTTTACGGCTTCCTTACATCAGTTTATTAATAGTTTTATTTTTTTATTGTAATCTCAGTTTTTAAGCCATTTTAAAATCTAAAGTTCCACAGGTTGATGATATGGCAACAATGTTTTCACTTTGATTATTAAACCATACAATTTGGAGGCAGTGAGACGGTCCCAGAAGCAAAATTCTCACACAAAAACTGAACTTCTGTGTATAAATTCCTTTCAGTGGGATTCATTTCTTCCGTACATCATTGCATCGTTGCATTTCTAATTTTTTCATGGCATAATAACAGAAAAAGCATATACCTATTTATTTTATTGATTTATAAATCTTCATAGCTTAAAAATGTTTTTCTTTTCCTCTAAGCTACTTCTGCAGACAATTATCTGTAGATGATAGTTTTCTTTGTGTAACTCACAAAGAATGACGTTTATAATTTCACCGTTACAAGAAGATTAAAAAGTTAATGAAGTAGATCCAATAACAACTGTTGACAGAGAGCTGAATTATCCAAGGGACACATTAGCTCATGACTAACATGCCTAGACATGTTTTATATGAATACAATCAGTTATTTCAGTCTTTGTTTTAAGACACTAAATTTTAAGGATAGAAAGTTTCCTACAGAGAACAATATTATAAGCAAAGCCCAAACCGTTTCTGAATTACACTCCAAACATATCCCGAGGTGGTAGCGGTATTAGTTCCTTTCAAGTTTTCCAAACTATTGAACACCACAAGTTTTCCAGATTCAGGAAAATGTCAGAAAGATTTTCTCCAAATGCAAACAAATCCCCCAAACGTTTCATTATTGCACAATAACTGCAGAAGTTAAAGGAGTGACATCCGTGTGAGCTGCCCGGTGTGGTCTGTCCGAAGCCATTCCTAAGCTAACTTAACAAAAATACTGTAAAAGTTTTAAATTCCACCCCGGCTAAATTTAACCGCCATGTTTCCCCTCATGAATAGAATGGGCACAATCATCATCAAGTGGAAAATATTTTACTCTTATTTGATTACCACAGAGAGGCTCTTGGTAAATTTGGCTCAGTAATGGGAGCCATACCTCTTTCCTTCATTGAAGTGACGTTGGACTAAAGCAGCAGCTCCACTGTACCAACCAACACCCCCGCTTCACTCCCTCCTTGCTACTCCCCCTCACCCACCTACCCCCTGTGTGATCTCAAGCCTGCAGCACTTGTCATCTCCCCAGTGGCAGCTTAGATCCTCCAATTTTAGGTTAATTAATCAAAAATGATTTCTTTTCTCATTAGCCATGCAGTTGGTTTGCAATCTGCGAAATCAATGTTTTACAGATGTTTCCCTGGGTTTTGTTTTTCAAGCCGGTGCTGATTTTTATTGGGTATAGATTTAAGAGGTTGCTGAGGGATTGAAAGTTAACTCAGCCACACAAAATCACACACATATGCAGCCTGAGCCACAACGAGTGCATATTATTAATAGTCACATGCTCACAGCAACAAAAGCTTCAATAAAGTACACAAAATCCTGCATATTGGCTCTGCTACTTTGAATCTGTTTTCCTTTGAATATGAATGTTCCTCGTCACTGATCACGGTGCGCTCTTACTGTGCTTCGGTTCTCCTGGAACCCGTCGATTGTTGCCAAACCCAGAGGGTTGCGCCACACACACGCCTGCTTACACTCTCTCTGGGTAGCGCTCTTTAATCACGTAACGGCTTCTTGTTCAAGTTCCTGCTGGTTGTAAACAAATGTAATGTTGCATTTCCTGTCGTCTAGACATAACAACAAACCTGGCACGAGCAAATACTGGAGCAACTGTGGTTGTTAAGGAGTGGCTGGCACGAGTTGCCAAGCCGGGGCATGTGAGGTGGAGATGAAGAGGCCTCAAGACGGATGCGGCGGCGGTGTCATCATCATCTGGATCAGTGAGTAAAGTAAGACATGTAATACTAAGGTATCCTGTGCTGCATTTGAAAATGTATACTTAATACAGGCTAGTTATTTATTTATGTTTTTTGTCATTTTGGGGGGTTTGGACATAAATTCACTCCTAGGTGAATGAGGGAGGTGAAAACTTCCACAAGACTTAAAGTACCTGAAACAAACATTAGCATCAGTCTAAGCCATTTTATCTTGTGGCCTAATAAAGTTTGTTTCAAGAACTTTAATTGTTGCTGAAGTTTTCACCTCAGCGGTTCTCTGACTCTTCTCATGCACCTTGAAAGTTAGTGAAGTTGTGCCAGAAAGTTTTGGATCTTGAAATACATTCACACCCACATTTTTACAGGTGTGAGGAGTACAAACTGTGCTTTGCACAAGTTTTCAAACCTTTTTGAACTTTTCTTAATTTTTCCACAAATATGCATTTAGCCTCACTTTATTTGATACATTTAAAAATGTAATCACTTGCCTTTAAAACTATTCACATTAAAGCTTTTATGTGATTTTTATCTCGGTATAAATCTAGCTGTTCTCTGAAGGCTGCAGAGGTTTGTTAGAGAACACCTGTTAATAAGTAGCACCATGAAGACCAAGGAACACAGCTGAGAGTTGTGGAAAATTTGTGGTTAAGGTCGTAGAAAAATATCCTATGCTAAACATTAGCTCGCCACTTATTCTTACATCTTATTATTCTGGTTCAAAAAACCAACCTAGACTGATGACATAAACCACAACTAATAGACGAGGTTAGGAGAAGATAAAAAAAAAAGCAGGAAAGAGTGTCAAGGTAACTATTAGCATTAACAGAGAGGAAACTAATACACGCAGAGCAGTGATACTTAAGCAGCATGGTTGTAAACCAGGAAACAGAATGAACATAATGAACAGAATGTGTTGGTCGATGAAAACTTTCTGCAAATGCTTTGTTTGTTTTAGAAAATAACACAGCGCATTCCCCTGGAGACTCCACACATATGTAAAACATGGTGGCAGCACCATCATACTGTGTGAGTGATTTATTCTTCGTAGAAAGGACAGGCTTCATTATAACAACCCAAAACATATAACCAGAGCTACAAAAGAGTGGTGAGATCAAAGCAAAATCTTATGTTAGAATAGCCCCGTAAAGTACAGGACTAAGCTCAGCCGGATAATCCGAGATCATTGTTTTGTTTTATTATTTTTTTTTATGGTAAATTTACATTTACAAACTGTCTCCATCCATTAATAGTAAACTTGAGCTGTTTTCAAAGAAACAATAACTAGAATCTAGCTTTCTAAATGTTCTAATATGGCTGAAACGTAATTTGGAGCATCTATAGCTTAATAAAACAAAACACTACTGTGGAGATGTTATTATTTTTAAAAACCAGTGAAACGTGGGGATATTTATATTTTTAACATTATAGAAATGTAAATGATTTACGGACTATAGATTTTTTTGGGTTGACTTTTCAATAAATGTTTCCAAACGATAACATTTTTTTTTTCTGGACCCACCAACATGCCCATCGTGCCATCTGGGACACAGTTGTTTGGTTTTTCGTGGCATATGGCTGTATGTGTGTACTTGTGTATGTGTGTTTGTGCGATGCATTCCTACTTGCATACTCTGCTCCCCGCCCACAGTTCCACTCAACTACACAGGAAAAAGAAGATGAAGCAGAGGAGCAAAGGAGCCTAAACAGAAATTATTATTGATTTAATCACATAATCAGCTCCAAACACTTCAGGCCAAGATAGCAAATCCATAAAAGCCTCCCCACATAACCACCCTTACAAATTTACCATCAAAGCCCTCCACGCACAAACTGCAAACACAGGAACCAGGGGTCACCTTCAGTCGTCGGCGAAATATTGACTCTCCTAATGCTTGTATATGTTTTTGATTTAGGCGTTATCAATCACTGATAAGGGCCTTGTGTCTCTAAAACATAACTCCTGTGGCAGCGGGGGATTACAGCATCGCTTTTCTTGTCATAATCTGAGAATATCTGTTCAGAAAAGATGGGGAAAATCAATGTAGTGCAGAGGAGGACATTTCCCACTGCGGACAGTCTAGACTGTTTTAACAGGAGAAGGAAAGATTTTGATTTCTTAGAAGATCTAAGTCAAAAGAGTTTTGATATTTGTCGGTCTGAAAATGTCCTGTCTTCACTTAAAAACAGCTATTGTATTCCTGTATTTGAGGCATTGTGTTTTGAACAATGAGAAAACAAAAACTACAACGATTTCATTCAGACTCAACAATAATCAGAGTTCTTTTTTAATTAATCAATTTGGGCCCAAGATCAAAACACATCAACTAAAGCTTTTTGTCTCATTTTTGTCCTGTAGTGTTTGACTTCCTTTATATACAAACATGAATAAATAAATAAACAATTATAAACAATAAAATCACATTTGGAAGGGAAATAATTAGTTGGGGTGACATTAATTGTTCTCATAGAATTAACTGCCCTTTTCTCTTATTTAGCTACAAAAAAAAGACATTTTTATAATGTGAGGTTTTTTTTTTTTTTTTTTTTTTTTTTTTCTTTGTTGTTGGATCCTTTTTATTTATTTTTTTTACATTGAATGCAGCTGTAAAAATACCAATAACAGAACTCCTCAAATGTAGCCCAATATTTCACAGTGTCTACGTGTCTGTGGCCCTTTGCATGCAATAATCTACAGCAGCCTTGGGTTAATTTGCTCCACTTGGTACTCACCTTTAGAACCCATGGTCATCATCATTGCCTCCCTTCTCCCTGGTTCTTCTTTAATGTTATTCCCCCAAAACTGTACTAGAAAAAAATTACAGACCTATTATGAATGGATTAATCTCAGTAGTTCTGATTATATTAAACTTAGACTATTTTTATTTTATTGTTCAAAAACATAACCTAAGTCTAAATAAACATCACATATTGTGACCTATAGCACATTAATCCTAGAATTGAAGTTGCTCGGGATACAATATCAAATTTTCTCTTCAGCAGAGACTAGAAGGTAAAAATAAAGTAAAATAAATAGATAAATAAATATATAGATTTTTACTGTGTAAGCAAGTACAAAATGATCCAGATGCAAGTAAGTTGCATGAATTTGTTGCACTCTAATGTAAGTAGCTGACTAGATGTGTGATGAAGTGGACAAACAAAACTGCTCAACTGACTGGTAGACAACTTCTTGGGAAAGCAACTACATTGTGCAATTGATAAATTGCAATAATCATATTTTACAGAGGTGTCATATTGGCCTTAAAGGTTTGCTATTCTGCTCAGAATGAAGTCATCTAAAATGTATTTCATCAGCTATGTTTATGTCATTCAACAATAAATCTGATTTAGATCTTAGCACTCCCTCAACATTCATATCTTAAGAGATCTATCCATTTACTTTCCTATCCTTGTCCATCCAGCCTGCGGCTATGGAAGCCTAATTGTTTACCAAAGGGTTGCGGCTCATTTGCTCCTGGAGATTGGGCCTAATTAACACTAACTTGTCTGAACACCGAGAAGCGCTGTCCACTCCACTTTAATCTAATCTGTACTCTTTCAAAAAATAATGAGATCATTTACACCTCATTAACGAACAATGTAATGTCTGCGCATTAATCATAATGATTGCTTATCATTTCACTTTGCAATATTATCTCCTCTAATGAAACTGTTCACACAACTGCCAAGAGGGCCTTAATTGGTCGTGTGAAATCACAGAGCACCCAACAGCTTGCTGCAACGTGTGTGAAGTTCTAATTTGCATGGATGGCAAAGGGAGGGGATATGGGAGGTGGGCAAGAGGGGACGGTATCACTCAGGAATGCACACAAACACATAACTCTGCATGAAAATGCTGGAAAGGGTAAAATGGTACATTTTTCAGATTTCACATTTCTTTTTTTAATCTACTATGCAGAAGGAGTGCAAAATAGATTTCCAACAAGCCCAACAAGGTAATTTTATCTTTTTAACACAGGTTAAAAAGATTTAAAATACCTTTATGGTCCCACTGTGGGGCATTTGGGTGCAAAATATGCGACACAAGACTAGAGAATATTTTAACAAAATAAAGTTTGATTTCAGAAGAAAAAGTAAACAACTCTTAAAAAGGAAAATCTGCTGTTACTGCTGTTCCTAAAAAAAGGCACAATTAAGTAAACATTGGAGAAAAAAGTATTGCTTTTATAATTTTATATTTTCAAATTTTTTTCAGTATAACTATTTTACTTAGATTCTATATGATAATCCTCAAAAGAAAGGATTTTTATGACTTTTATGACAAAGACAATGCGTTTAACAACTGTTTTTTCTAATGTTTTAAGTCAATTTGAATCTGATGCTCCGAAATTAAAACCAATACATTCAACTACCTGTGGAAGTAGCCTAATTGGAGGCAACCTATAAGCAGTTTTTAATAAGTGTAAATTTAATTATACTAAGAATGCATAGAGAACATCAATGAACCAGTAGAGGACAAGCAAGATAGCCGAAATAACATAGTGTACAGTTGACAGAGATAAAAGTGATGAAAGTGTGCTTAAGGTAGGATTAGGTTATAAAACAATATCCAAACCTTTAAACATCTTACTGAGTACTGTTTAATGCAGCATTCAAAAATAAGAAGCATGTGACTAAAATAAAAGGAGAGCATTCATCCGAAAAGTAGCCAAAAGGCCCTTGGTAACGCTTAAGATGCTACATAGATGCATATCAGGTAAGACAGCGATTAGACGTGAATTTTATTAACTGGACTTGATGTAAAAGAGCCGTAAAGAAAGCCATGTTTGAAATAAAGACATAAGATATTTCATTATCATTTCATTTTGAAATAAATAAACTGTGTCATTCTGTTTAGGTGCTTTAGTTCAGCAGAAACAGAGGAACATTTTTAACTTAATGTGAGGAAGGATATTATAATCATAAAGTCAAATCTGCATAATAAATAAATGGTTTAGATCGAAGCATTTCCTTAAACTGGCCCAATCAAAATCCAGACCTTAATCAAATCC